TGTTAAGTTTATTTTCCGTTAAACTACTTTTATTAATTAATAAAACTAATAATTGAGTAATATTTAATTCCATATAAGCATTTGATTTATTTTCACAATTGAAGGTTTATTTTAATGCCATTTCCATTTTTATTGAAAGGCTTTATTTAAAGTGAATAAAACTTTGAGTAACATTAGTGCTATTAAAATTTTAAGCAAAATTATTGCATTTTCCAGCTCCTCATCATGGGCAATCCTCACGTGGAGGTATGGAAGAAGTTGCTGGATCAGGTAAAACATATTACGTAGATTTTATCCATAATTATTATGTGGCCGATTCAAATTATTGTGTTGAACCCGAATATCTACTTTTAAGATTCTTTTAAATATATATTAATGTTTAGGGAATTAGAAAATTAGAATCTAACTTTGAAAATATATATTTTCTGAGCTTTTTTCGGGGTGAGAATAAAATTATGTATAAAGTGCCATGAGAGTTTTACGTAGAATTATGATAAATCTAGTTACAATTTATTTGTAGTTCCTCAAGAACCAAATTTGCGTGGTATTATGGAAGGACAAGCCGAACAAGGTAAATCATTACCGTTTTATTGATCGGAGTTGTTTCTAACCTCTGTTTCGATGATTTTTTACTCATTTTAAATTTTTGAATTTTTGAAGAGATGCATTTTTTGTGCAAAAAGCAGCATTTTACTACTTGACATTCCAAAATTATTAAAAATTTTGCCTGCGGCGCAGAATCACTCGATATCTCTGAATCACCTGACATGACGCAAATTGCATTCAAATCTTCCAATATCACTCCTATTCCACCCAAATCCTAAGATAAAATATTAACCATTGATTTCGCACCCGGTGGCATGAGAGAAAATATAACTGCTCTGAAAATCACTTGCTCTTAGTCAAGATTCAAATGCTCGGAGCCTGAGAAATTATTTTTAAACCCTGAGCGTTAAATGAAAAATGCCAATCGAGACCTAACAATTCAGAAAAAAGCTGCAAATTATTTTTAATTTTTTATATTTTTTTCTGATCTTCGTTTTTTGTTTAGTTTTTTATAAATTATGACATTTTATTTTTAGAAGGAATGAATTTCAATTTGCATCAAGAAAATTTAAATACGACTGTTAATCTGCCACAACATGGCCCTTTTATTCCTCGTCAACCTGCTCCGTTTGTTCCGCGCCCATCTGCTCCGTTTGTTCCTCGTCAACCTGCTACATTTGTTCCGCGCCCATCTGCTCCGTTTGTTCCGCGCCCATCTGCTCCGTTTGTTCCTCGTCAACCTGCTCCATTTGTTCCACGTCAACACGTTCCATTCGTTCCGCATCGACCTGGTCAGTTTAGTCAGAACATTGAATATAGCCTATATTTATAGCCTATATAGCCTAATATTTTATTTAAAAATTTTTCAAAATACAGGGCATGGAGAAGGTGGAAGTGATACTGAAAGTGATGCTATGTCAAGTAACCGTCAACGTCAAGGTTGGTTTATTAAATATCTTTTTAATTATAAACTCAAGTTTCTTAACTTTTTAACAAGTTTGAATATCCTACTACCCCCACCTCGAAATTTGTGTTAGATGTTTGTCGATAGGAATATTTAGAATGTAGCTTTAATTATATTTTTATCCTTATTTCATTAATATTATTCGATTACTAATGTTGTAAATTCAAATTATAACTAGCTCCCTCAAAATGTTAATGATATTTCAGATGATGAAGAATAGAATATGATGAAGATATAAACAGTCATTGTGAAACAACAGAACTCGGAAAGACCCATCGGTTATCCACAAACAGATTCTTAACTAAATTGTACATCGATTATAGTCTTGACCTTAGTCTAACTTTGGAAGCAGATTTTATTTTAAAAAAGTGGTAGTAAATATAAACAGAGGTTCACTCATTGTCACTTGTTCAAACTAACAATTAGAATCTGTATGGGGATAACCAAAATATACGAGATATTCTTACATATTTACCTGAATTCACAGATATAGAAGAAAGAACAAAAAATACATTATGTGATTCATTACAACTAGAGACCGAACTTTATTGATCGTACGATAATATCGATATCGATAATCGAAAAATATCGAAAAAGTTAAAAATTTATCGTTCAATAATATCGGTATCGATAATATCGACATCGATATATCGCTATTTTCCATCGAAACATCGTATCGATCCGGTCTCTAATTACAACATACATATTATTTAATGATAAACATTAAAATTTTCACATTCAGAAATTCTATCCGTTTATCTAAAATAAATTGCTGTACACTATCTTCGTCGGCTGTTTCTTTTCTTTTGGTTCTACATCTATGGTTTTAAATTCACCCCCCTTTTCATTTTTTGCTCTTTTGACATTAGATTTTTCATTATAATCACTTGATTGTTTGAAATCTACAAGTTTTTTATATGGTCAATTTGAAGAATATTAGAAGGCCATAACCAAAGATTGGAAACCGACCGAAAATCTTAGGGGAATTGCCTTTTTTATAAGAAATGGAAGAAATATGCCCCCCCCCCCCCATAATCTAAAGTATCCTATGAATATCTGTTACTTAACAATGAATAAGCGATTCAGTGTCATTGTTTTAGAAAAAAAATTTTCTTAGAATATCCGGGATTTAGGCAATATAATTGATAGTACACTAACATATACTGAGCATATAAGTAGGATTGTTAGAAACGTTTATCTAAACAGCCATTAATTCTTAAGAATAATGAAAACAAGGGAACTAAACACTTTAATACTAGCTTAAAAATCATATGTTAGATCGCAATTAGAATTCGATACCGAAATATCAAATCCGATTCAAAATAAAGATATAACTAAACTAGAGAAATTTCAAAAATTTTTCACGAGAATGGCATTTAAGAAATGTGGTCTAGTTCATAAAAATATTTTTATTTATTTATTTATTTATCAGCAAACCACAGGTATTTTAAAATACATTAAAGTTGTGCATAAAAAATATACAAATTGAAAAAATATGTGAAACAACATCAAACAAAAACATGAATAAATTTAAAAAATTTAAAAAATATGTATAAGAAAATAGTGAAAAAACATGATGAGTATGGCGTATCAAAACATGCAAATGTATATTTTGCATGCGGATATGCTATGAGCTGAAACGCTCAAAAATGGTGTTTTTACATGGATTCGAGCACTTTAGAACCCGGTTCTTAGTGCATATTTATGCATTGCTCATTTAAATACTAAATTATCGTTTTTAGCGCATATTTTGGCAAATTTTGTTTATCTTAGTGAATATTTAGGCTTTCTTGGTGCATATACGCGCATATTTTGGGATTTTCCGTGCATATTTTGACACGCCCTAATGATGAGAGATTAAACTATATGCAACTTACAAGAACTAAATATTAGAAGAAAAATAACTGGCATGTTTACTATCTTGAAATAATTAACAACAGTCTAAAATTCAATCTTGATTCATTTGTTGATTTTGTACTGTTACTTGATTATCTTCCCTTGCAAGATTTATTTGATGAATTAAGGTTGAATAGAATTTGAGTGTAGATTTTTGTAAAATTGTTTAAAAGTACTAACAGTTTTTTTGAATGTTTTAAAACAGTCGCGTTGAATTGTCTTGTTCATTGTTAAGTATACAACTGGAGGTATTCCTGAAATAATTTTTTGGATTAAGATTTTGCATCCTTTCAGAAAAAATTTTTATTTTATAAAATAAAAACCCCTCATAAATAACACTTGACATATCCAATTCGATTTATAACTTCAGTCTTTTGTTTTTAATTAACATGATTAAGTACCACGAAAAGTTTAATAGTATTTATAAAGGTTTCCACACTTTTGGATTTTCTCATCTTAAAAATGCTTGGGTGAAATTTTGGCGTGAATAATAATGGAAGTAAGAGAAATTAGAAAAATTATGGCAATATGAGAAGTTATAACAACCAAACTGCGTACGAAAAGTATATGCACCCCCCAGTCTAATCAAAATTACAAAGAATAATTTATAAAAAATCAAAAAACTCGGGATATACTTTTGGAACGCAGTGTATATTAGTGTTCGGCATTTGCGATTTTTCGAGATCGAGATTATCGAAAAATCTCGATATCGAAAAAATCTCGATTTTTCCAAAAATTGATCGAGACGAGATCGAGATCGATAATCTCGAAAAATCTCGATATCGAAAAATCTCGGTCCAAAATTTTCGAGATTATCGCGATATTTCGATATTTTTTATAATCCCTTAGAATGAATAAAAATTTATTTCAATCAAAATTTATTTCAATCAATTTTTTCAATCAAATTTATTTCAATCAATTCACCTAAAATACAATTTTATTTTTGAAAATTTACCAGATGAGCGAATTTAATACAATAAATATAAAATAAATTTATAAATAGTGAACAAATAGTGAATCTCGTATTTGTAATGAATCAATGTAAGTGTTTGGTTCAGAAAAATTAACATTTCTGCATTTACTGGACTCAAAAGTGATCGCCTGTAGTCAAAGACGTCTCTTGCTACGGACCGATACGAGATCGAGATCAATAATCTCGAAAAATCTCGATTTTTTCAAAAATTGATCGAGACGAGATCGAGATCGATAATCTCGAAAAAAATCTCGCGATATCTCGAAAAAAATCGTCGATATATCGTATCGTGCCGAACACTAGTGTATAAGCGTTGGTCGTGGATTTTTTGGATATTTTGGTATAGTGATAGGAAATGAAAGAAAATCAGAGAGAGTCAAATTACAAATTAAAAACTGATATAAAGCCTGTCGGAGATTTTCAGATAATTTCCAAGGAGTTGAAAAATAGCAATGCCGGCAGTACTATTTCAGGAATCCACATATGTATATCTCCTTAACCTTCGACAAATTTTCTGTTCAGTTATAGGAATAAACTTCATTCAGTTATATATTAAATAATTGTGCAAATCGCTACAGAAAAATAAGGACGGAAACTTTTAATCATTTTTCCTAATTTATTTTATGGACTTAATAATATAGTACCGTGTACATTTAACCATAAAATTTGACCAATTATAATAATAACTTCATTGACGTGGATATATTGCATAAAAACAAAAATAAAAGCAGCAAAAGTATTAAATGAGCTAATCAAAAAGACTTGAAGAAAAATCTAAAATTTTATTTCGTACAATATTTACATGTAGTGATAAAAAACCATTATTTCAGAATAGCTTTGTTGATTAGATTGAAGTCCGCCTTGTTTGAACAAAAAAATTACGCAAAAAGTTACGTAAGTGATTAATAGAAAAGATATGAGGACTAAATCGTGGATTGGATGAAGATTGACATTATATACCTTTAAAGAGATAAATATTTTAAACAAATAATAAAGCAATTACTTGGTTAACATCATCAATATATCCAATGTGTGGATTGAAGAACCAGCTAAAGTAAATGCCACTAAATGCAACTGTTTTTGTCCATGTAATTACGGATAAACCATATATTATTGGAATGACTAGCCAAATATACAATTTTTTTCCTATAATTTTATAAAAAAAAATAAAGTTAATTTAAGTAACTTTAAACTAATTTCGTTGATTAAATAGTTGAATTATTTTTTATTCAGTTATTTTTCACGTGAATAATTTCTTTCTCTTTTTTGATCTTTGTACCCTTATTTCTTAGGACTTAATCTTTTCTCTTTTCTTTTGTTACTATTAAGTCCTCATAATTTAGCGCAAAAATAATAGGAAAATAATATTTCCGCCCTTAGTGGCGATGATTAAGCTTGAGAATGATCGCCCTTAGTGGCGCTAAGCTACGTTCTATAAAACTAAATGTAATTTTCCCATTCTTCGGATTTCAATCATTCATTCACTCCTTTAACTAAAAACTTCTTTATAATAATTCTCTATTGTTTATTATTGAAATAAATTAATTATTTGGAAAATATTGGATAAATATTTTATTTATATTTTAGAAACAAGTGTTGTAGGACCTAATCAAACCGATTTTCGACAAGTACCGTATCCTACAGTACCAACCTTTAAAAATTTTTGTAGCCATATCAGAAGACAAAAGTTCAATGCAACGATTGATAGCTAAAATTACTTCTATTGTTGATTCAGTATACCAGCAAACTAATAATATCAAATATTTATTAAATTAGAAAATATACAAACAGGATACATAGGCCCCGGCAAAATAAATAAATTCTGGTGAAGAACAATAAACATATCCAAGATATCCCAAATATCCTGTTAAATGTCCAACGAATAAAATTGCTGCAATGTCAATGACGCCCATAACGAACATAATTTTATAACAAGTACTTTTTGCCATTTGTTTACAAATTGTTACCATACAAGGAATATAGAGTATCTGTTTAATAATGAACTTACATTTTTATAGGCATCTACTAACACATTGACCCATACTTGAAAATTTACAAATTCTCCTAATCCTCACAAAAATAAACTGGCGATTTTCCTTTCAAAGAACATCAACTATTTTCACTTAATTATTAATCATTTGTAGGTACATATTTCGTTCTCCCCCCCCCCCCCAGTCCGTGATTTAAGTAAAGTACGAAATGTCCAGTCATATTTTCTTTCCAAAAGCTTAAAAAATTTGCCTGTAGTCATCACATTCATTCACTAACTTTTCCTTCAATAATTTACTTTTCATTTGTAACCGTCTTTAAATGTAAAAAAAGAACATTGATCTATTCAGCCATTTACAAATAACAACGGCAAAATGTTTGAGACATCGATCAAAAACAAAAAGATGCCTGAATTGAAGGAAGAGTGAGTGAATGAATGCGACCACAGCCAAAATTGTTAAGCTTTTGGAATGAAAAAATGATGACCATTTCGTATTTCAACTGAATCGCGGACTGTATAAAATTAATAATGCAGAAAATTAATAATCCAAATTGAGATGGGATTAAGTTTTTGTTCAGATGGGCGAATTGGGAGTCGGACGAACTATGCCGGAAAGCTTTTATTTTTTAAATTTTTTTCTGAAAATTACCACATATATTGTAGACAAAATAATAAATAAAATTCCAAGTATTTTATGTCGGCGTTTTTCCAGGGGAATTTGGTCAATATTATAAATACTACAATTGTAAAGACGCTCATATTTATCATGATGAAATAAATACAAGTCCATTAAAAGTGTTAGTCTTTTAGCTAAAGCTTATAATGTACATGTGAATGTCTAAAGTACGATATTTTATAATATAAAACATTAGGAAATAGCCAAATCATTGTTTATGTTTTCACCCAGAAAACTCGAATTCGCTCCGTAGTTTACCGATACCGATATCTTACCGGTCGATTTTGTAAAAGATCGTTTTTTATCTTTGTTACATTCACTGCCTAAAACGTGCAAACTGGTCAGATAAGCAAATTTATTAAACGTTACAAAAATTGGTTAGAGAAACTAAAATTTATTTTGAGTTTTGAAGGACTTTAAAATGTTAAGGTTTATTTTGTCTATAATATTAACAATATATTTTAATTTGCCAGATAAAAATAATTAAAAACAAATTAATTTATTTTAACAAATATTATCGTTATTTCTAGAGTTCTAACTTTTCAATTTGCCGTGCCCGGTATCCGGGTTTTTTTCTCCCAATCAGACCCAGGCCGGGTTCCGGGCTAAAAACAACGAAAACCCGGTTTTTTAACACCCGGGCTCGGACCCGGTTTTTTAAAAATTTGAAAAATTCTTAAAATTTAGATTTTTTCTGCAAATTTCCTTATATTAATTAGAAATTTATCAAAAATTTTATGTCATACCTACATTCTGAATACAGGAGGATGTGAAACGATATCGATTATCAAGGGATTTGACGGGATTAAGCGGGTTATCGGTGGATTTAGGGAGTTAAATTGATTTAGATATGTAGGCGTTTGGAGCGATTTATGTATCTTTGTGGGATATTTTTATATATTTTTTTACGTAATAGATATCAGTAATACTGTGATTTAAGTTAAATCGTAGAAGGATAACTTTTTCTTCCTTGATATCATGCACAAATAAGGATATGAGTGGATTCGAACGGATATCGGAAGAATAAGAGGGATGTCGAGGTTATTTCTTTAAAAAACTATAATTTTTTTAATTCAAGACAATTAATATTTGTTATTATAACGTTAATTTATAAAGTTTTGCGAAAAGGAAGTGAAAAATTTTTTTTATTAACGTAAATAAAAAATAAAAAATTCCCACAAAATACGATTTAAAGTGAAAAATTTTAATAAATTTAGTCAACAAGCGACATTAAATGCACTTTTCGAAAAATAGTTAGTTTTATGTAGACAAACAATTTAATTTACAAAAACATTTTTTCCAAATCATATGAAAATCATATGTACATATCAAAATTCTTTGCATTCATACATATAAAACTTATTTAGCCATGCCCTCAATACATATATGGCTGGCTCATTGTCTAAAACTGAGAAGATTAAGTTTTCGCAGGAACGAATATAATATTCCTGCACATTTGCAGAGAAAAACTTTGGCCGAATTTTATAGAGACCCTTTAGTTTAGCCAGAATTTTGTAATCTTTTAGTAGAACTGTTGATAGCCTGGATATGGACCAGGGTTGCCGCCCGAAACCCGAAACCCGATACCCGAAACCCGGCCTTTTTTTGTACCCGAAACCCGATACCCGAAAAGAAAATTTTCCAACCCGAAACCCGTACCCGATATTTTTTCCAACCCGGAACCCGTGACCCGAAATTGGTTAAAACCCGAAATTTCTACCCGAAAACTTAGCCTTACCCGATTTTTTAAAATTAATTTAAAAAATTATAGAAAGGAAAAGGGAAAGAAATATTCATAATTTCTCCATATTTTCATTATAGGAGTCGATGATAGGTAAGGTGACAGGCACTATATTTTAATAGTGGTCGGTTCGAGCCCAGGTCTGGAAATGAGGTCTAAAAAATTTTTCTTTTCAAAAATAAATGTTTTTAAACTTCGATTTTCATTTTAGATTTTTAAATTTATTTTTTTTAATATTCTAAGCTTGAAAAGGCATTAAAAATTTTAATTTAGCCATGAATTTTGCAAAATTTTCGCCTGCGGCGCATAAAATTAAAAGTTCTTGCTTCATGACCAACTAAACTCCGCAAAAAAGTCCGCAGAAAGGGGTAGGGATAACGAAAAAGTACCAAAAATTTTTGCCCGCGGCGCAAAAAATGGAAGAAATTTGGCTTCTTGGCCTTAAAAATTCTCAAAATTTTCGCCTGCGGCGCTGAAAACTAGAGAAAATTGGAGGCTTTAATGGAGAAAAAGCCGAAGGATATTAGTATATATTGGGATTTTATCAAGGTGATTTTACCAAGATATCCCTCTTTATCCCCAAATCCCACAATGTCTCTTTAATCTCTTCAAATTTGCCTCTCTATATCACCCAAAATCCTATTATGCAACATAGCTTGTCTCCTTACAATTTTGTTCACCAATACCCGAACACCCGAAAATAACCCGGATTTTTCGCCAAACCCGAAACCCGTACCCGAAATTTTTGCCAACCCGAAACCCGTGACCCGAAATGAAAATTTTATAACCCGAAACCCGAAACCCGTACCCGATATTTTTGCCAACCCGAAACCCGTGACCCGAAATGAAAACGCTCCAACCCGATACCCGAAACCCGTACCCGAAGATTTTTTGTACCCGCGGCAACCCTGATATGGACCCAGGGCTAAAAAAATTAGGGAAAGCTAGAAAATTATTTTGAAAATTTTGGAAAAATTTTTAGCCGGAAATATGCTTTAAAAATTATCGGAAAACGGAAATTTTTCCAAAATTTCAGAAATCGGAAGTTGGAATTCAGACCAACCTCTGCTGTATAAGTGAGACCGCAGTTAAAAATATAGACTCTCATGATAAGAAAATAATACCTTATTACTCTATTTTGTAACTAATTTTTGGGCAAATATATTTTCTACTATTTATCGGATTTTTAGAAATTATTAATAAATAATAAAAATAAAATATTTTTTCTTAAAGTGCATTTAAGAAAGACATTTAAGAAATGACAAATAATTTAATTTTATTCTTCATTGAAGAATGAAACTTTAATAAATAATTTTAATAAAATTATTCTGGGCTTTGTGATAATTTTAAAATTTCTTATTAATTAAATTAGCATGAAAATTCGAAATTATATCACTTTTCATGCAAAACAATAATGAAATTTCTAAGAATCAGATTTTTATTTTATAAACTAAATATTTTTTACTAGTTTAGGTTATAACTAGGGTTGTTGGCGACCGGTTATTAACCGGTACCCCCGGTTTTCGGTTAATCTAAATTTTAGAAACCCGGTTTTCGGTTTTGAGTTTTAGGCAAATACCGGTTTATTTTTGGGGGAATTTCAAATAAAATCACTAATTTTCACAAATTTCCGGTTTTCGGTTTTTAAAATTTTCTAAAAACGGTTAATTTTTGGCAAAAAATTTCAGAAATTCCGGTTTTAAAACCGGTCGCCAACAACCCTAGTTATAACCTATTTTGAATTAAATTAGCATGAAAAATTAAATTGAATTAAATTAGCATTAATTTGAATTAAATTAGCATGTTCGGGTATTGGTGAACAAAATTGTAAGGAGACAAGCTATGTTGCATAATAGGATTTTGGGTGATATAGAGAGGCAAATTTGAAGAGATTAAAGAGACATTGTGGGATTTGGGGATAAAGAGGGATATCTTGGTAAAATCACCTTGATAAAATCCCAATATATACTAATATCCTTCGGCTTTTTCTCCATTAAAGCCTCCAATTTTCTCTAGTTTTCAGCGCCGCAGGCGAAAATTTTGAGAATTTTTAAGGCCAAGAAGCCAAATTTCTTCCATTTTTTGCGCCGCGGGCAAAAATTTTTGGTACTTTTTCGTTATCCCTACCCCTTTCTGCGGACTTTTTTGCGGAGTTTAGTTGGTCATGAAGCAAGAACTTTTAATTTTATGCGCCGCAGGCGAAAATTTTGCAAAATTCATGGCTAAATTAAAATTTTTAATGCCTTTTCAAGCTTAGAATATTAAAAAAAATAAATTTAAAAATCTAAAATGAAAATCGAAGTTTAAAAACATTTATTTTTGAAAAGAAAAATTTTTTAGACCTCATTTCCAGACCTGGGCTCGAACCGACCACTATTAAAATATAGTGCCTGTCACCTTACCTATCATCGACTCCTATAATGAAAATATGGAGAAATTATGAATATTTCTTTCCCTTTTCCTTTCTATAATTTTTTAAATTAATTTTAAAAAATCGGGTAAGGCTAAGTTTTCGGGTAGAAATTTCGGGTTTTAACCAATTTCGGGTCACGGGTTCCGGGTT